CTTCCACTCCACACCATGCCTTGGACACAGGCAAGGGGCTGACCCTCACCAGGCTGTCACCACCCACATGGCTTATCAGATTTTCTTCTTCCTATAAGGCCCAGGAGCCGTGTTGCAAGCAGCAGCTTTGGGCTGTGAAGCAGCAGATAGCGCTTCCTCCGGGGCAGGGAGCACTGCTAACTCACCAGGCAGGAGATGGCTTGAGCAACGGCAGGAACATCAGCTGATCCTTAACAGGAAGGCTGGATGGGGGTGTGTGAAAGAGAAGCTGAGAATTACTCAGCTGGTACCAGCCTTGTAATTATTTCCTATCCCAGGAATCCACTTCCGAAAGTAGAGCCAGCTGGTATCAAGGAAGCTGAGTTGGGGCTAGTGAGGTTTGGTGCACTGATCTTCGTCAAGAGACATTCCAGAAGATGTCCAGTGCTACTTCTGGAGCTGGGCTTCCCCTGTGATGAAAATACTGCATGTCCAAAGCCATATATGTGTTCTCTTTCCACCTGTAAACATCTCTGGAGCAGATCAATCTCCAGCTGCACTCCTACCCCTGTCTACACCATGGTGAATTGCATAGGACATTGCCCTGACGGACCACCATTTGACCATAGGTATCAACACTCATCTCCCACACCCCCTGTGCCTCTTTCCCGCTTGCCACACAGCCCTTGCCCAGCCACAAACCCCATTGCCAAAAACAGTGACCTGGTACAGACAGCATCACCCCAGCCCCAAGGATTTAACCTTCCAACACAAAGGAAGGTTAAATGTGGAGCAGCCTTCCTTAGCACAGCCGCAGATCCCCTTGCTTTTGGTCCTGTGTCCCATCATGGATGGTAACTGCAAATGCTCTTCTCCACACCCTATGCACAGATAAATCATCCTTTGCTTCTTTGCCCCAGCTTATTTCCAGCACTACCCTGTCCTGGCTGCACTGCAGGGCATGTGGTTCCCCTGTGGGCCCTGCTCACCAGCTTGAGGTGGGACACATACGGTACCACATCCTGAACTGAGACCTGGCTAGAGATGTAGCTTATCCCAGAGCGGCTGCGGTTTAGGTGCCTTTGATGGGACTTTTCTTGGCTGTTCTCCCTTTCCCCTAGGCTTCCCATTTTCCTATGAAGTGCCCATGCTGAAACATTACCAGCTTTTCTTATTTTAAATCATTTCATTTTACCAGCTGGAGAGAAGGGGAGGGGGTGAGCAAAAGGTTCATAGAAAATATTCCTTTCCTTTTTTTCCATTAAAAAAAAATCTTTCCTTAAAACCAGTTTCACGAGGATCTTTCCGCTCGTCCCAATCGATGGGGTTGGGGATTCTTTTACTGTTGGCAGAACCTCTTAGTTAACAGCTTCATTAAAGCCCCCCCTCCGGCAGGTACCTGCCCTCCATCTCCTCTGCTGCCGCCGTGGGGCAGCCAGCTCCCATGCAGGTGGCTCTGCAGGCCAGTAGAGACCTCCAGAAGGATGCGCCTTGGCCAAACCACCCTGTTGGATACCCCACAGGGAGCAGATCGTGGGGGCAAGGAGGGGACACCCCTGCTTGCAACCTTGGGGACACATTCCCCCATCCTGTGGCCACCGGCTGCCCCGACCCCCTCCCTGGCAGGACCGGGGGGCACTGACCATTTCTCTGCTGGTTATTAGATTGTTCACGGCTCTCAGGTTTGTTTGAATAAGGCCTTTTGTTCGGCAGCACTTTCCCACGTCCCTCCGCTCGCTCGGCAGTCGCGTGTCCCGAGTCAAAGAGGAGCCCTGGCCCGCCGAGCCCCAAAGGAGGTTTTCTTTGGAGCAAGACATCTGCGTCGGAGGGAACCTGCCAACATCTGCCACACTTTTCCCCCTTTTCAAGAGCCTTTCTTTCCCGCTTAAAAAGTTGCAGGAACAGATGTTAAAAGTTGTTTTCTTTCTCCAGGGTGTGAAATGTAGACAAATAGCAAAAAAAAAAGGAACCTTCAAGCAGTGCTCACCCCTTTCTCTTTCCTTTTTTGGGGGGTTTTTTTTGGAAAGCACAGGAAAAAAGAAAAAAAAGAGGCTTTGTTGAGGAAGGAGAATCCCTTTTCAGTGAAACCTGGCAGTGCGCAATGCAAAAGGAAAGCGGGAATTTGCAGAAAGCTCCTTTTAATGCTCATTTGCATTGGCCTGGTGGGTCCCTACAATCCCCGGCACAGATGTCAGCCTTCCCCCAAAGCCAGGGCAGCTCCTGCCTGCACCTCCCGCCTCCCATATAAAGGCCTCTGCCATGACTGAGAGGTGTAAAATAACTGTTTACAGCAAAAGCTGCTCCTCTTTTTCACTGTGGGGCTGTCTTACAAATGAGCCTTGAAATGAGCTCACCCGGAGCAGATGCCAGTGGGGAAGCCAACGGGCTTGTCCCACCAAAGAAGGGGTCTCAGCTGCCCCGCATGGGCTGGGAATAGACCATGGCTGGGCACAGGGGGCCACCACAATCTTCTCGGTCCTGTGTCATACCTGGCTGTCCCAGCACCCACCACCTTAACATCAGCACCTCCCTGCCTGCTGGCTTCATAGGAGCCACTTTGCTATGGGAGCCACTTTGCTGGGGATGCCTCTTGCAGAGCATCCCCCTTTCAGAGCATCCCCCTTGCAGAGCATTCCCCTCACAGAGCATCCTCTTTGCAGGGCAAGGAAAAGCGGGAGGGAGGGTAAGGCAGGAGCAGCAAGTCCAGGCCAAGGAAGAACATGGGGACAAGGGAGGAGATACCACTACCACAGAGACCAGAGAGACTTCTCCTGGTGGCACTGCCCTTGTTCCACACACAGAGCACCCAGCAGTTGTGCCCGGCCAGGAAGGGATGCCAACAGGCACAGGACGTGTTTTTCAGAGCTTTTAGGCAATTCTGCATTTGTTGACACCTTTGCAATGCTGCTGGGCCAGGAGCCAAGGTGGTCTTAGGCTTCCCCCAGCTGCCCTGCCTGCTTTGGGAAGGTGCTTCTTCCTCTCAAATTCCCACTTCCCTTTTGCATTGCCAGGTTTCACTGAAAAAGGGTGCTCCTTCATCAGCAAAGCCTCTCTTTTTTCCTGGGCTTTCCAATCAAAAATAAGGGAAAGAAAAAGGTGTGAGCGCTGCTTGAAGGTTTCTTTATTTGCTATTTGTCTACATTTCACAGCCAGGAGAAAGAAAACAACTTTTAACATCTACACAAAGTGCTGGTGGAGGGGAGTTTGTGGGGGGACTTCTCTTCCTACCCACCATTCGAGCCAAACCCAGGTAGAAGTAATGTGCCCGAGTGATGGGCAGCACTTCCAGCCTCAAGCACCCACTCCTTGTGCCCCTACCCCAACCCAGCCGCTGCCTTTTCCATGCCGAGCTGTGGGAATCGTGTGGCAATACAGATACACCTATTATAAACACCAGCGACACTCCACTTCCCACGTGGACTGGAAGAAGCTTGAACAAAACAAGGAGTTTTCAGTGGCAAGCAAGCAGGGCTGGCTGTGTGGGATCTCCTTTCACTGTGCACAGGACACCTGAGATAAGGAGCCCATCCCTGCTCCCTTTACCTGGCAGAAAGGACAAGTTATCAACCTTCCCCTCCCAGAGCAACAACCACACCAGCCCATCTCAGGCCCTTGCCAAGTAGGACGCTTGTAAAACCAGGTAACTGCGAGATACCATGTCTGGGGCCACGTTTTAGCGCTGAGCCCAGCATCAGGGTGTGCAGGTACGTTTGCATTCACACACACCCCCATAGCGTTTAAGCAAGAGACGTGATGTCCTAGCTTGTATCATTAGGCCACATCCCTACCCGGGGCTGGAGGAGGGAGTGGGTGCTGGGAAATCCCACAGGCAGGTCGGGATAGCTTGCGGTGCTTATGAACCGC